GGAAGCACAAACACACAATGAAAAAATCTGTTTTCACCCTTTAGAAGATCAGAATGCAAGAAGAAAGGAAAGGAAGAGGTGTTAGAAAAGCAAGAGAAAATAAATAAATAAACAAATGAGAAAGAATTCATTGGTTAAAGAACCGAAATCTTCCTGAAATTTTCTCTGACACTTGTTTGTAAAGATTTTGAAGATGCAGATTTTTCCTGATGGTCCAATGAAATAGACAAGTCATATGATCACAGCGATCTCAATGTCTCTTTCCGTTCCCTTATAATTGATGGGAGATTGTACCTCACACAATCAGGTGCACTCCTTTGCTCTTATTTGTTTCATGTTCATTGAATTCTGTATTTTCTTCTGTTCCACAAAAAAAAAAATAACATGCTATTGTCTCAAATTAAAGCCTTCTAATACAATGTTATAGCAACTTACTTCTGGAGAATTAACATGAAATAACCAAGGAAATTTCTGATTTTGTTCTATTTCTGCAACTTCTCTTGGTTGTTGTGTGCTCAGGAAAACAAGGTACATTGCTTTGGCCGTGGCACATCATGACCATTTAGAATCCCAATCATCAGAGTTTTCTTGAGCCCCGCAGCCATCACCTTTTTGTGGGGCTTTCTCTCTTGCTGTTAGAGAAAAAGGGAAATACCCAGGTGGTCAATTCCATGATTTCAGATAATCATCCTGAATGTAAGCCTGGGCCATAAAATATAGTTAACTAATTTCAGCAATGCATGCATGCTTGTAAACTCATGCACACATGCTCCAAAAAGAGTATCTTCTCCTTCCTGGAAGATCTTCTGCTGTTTAGCTCCCTCTTTTCTGCTTTTATAGACTGTGGGTACCTTAGGCGTGATGGTAAGTAAACAACAAGGAAAGCACTTTGCATATGTATCAGTGCGGTTTCATCACCTGGTGGGATACATACAATTATATAAAGATGACCCCTGGAAAAGAAGAAACACTCAGTCAATTGCAGCCATCATTACAATCTATCATCGTCCTCATCATTATCATGGTTTTTAATTTGTAAATCCGTAGCACTCAAAAATGAATCCATGTCTTTCGATATTAAGCTTCCAACATTGTTGATAGCATCAGTAATTTGTTGTACTTGGTACTTTTTTGTGGAAATCCGAAAGATGTCAAGTCATGAGTCCCACAACTCTTATGAAGCCCCCATTGACACCACTTCTTTTTATGGCACCTACGGCCAGGAATGGGTTTTGTTGCCTTTTGATTTGCCTTTTTTTTGTAGGGACTGCGGATTTAAAAGTCACTGTGTTCTTTTTAGCTTTACTCTTCCCCTACTTGCAGATACTCAACTTCACCTTTTTTCCTGTGGGCTCTTGTCAACACTGTTTGATTCATTGGAAAATGCTAAAGAAAAGAAAATTTTTCAAGGATTAAGAACCAATGATACAAATGGTAAGATTAGTGATGATGTGTTCACCCTTTTACTGAAAAAAAATTGTGACCCTTCATTAGAAACAAGCATAGGTTAACAATAAAATAATCATACAAGTTATTGATATATAATGCTCTATTATTAGTAACATGTAACATACTGGAAATGAACAACTGCCATTATTAGAAATATAATGCAACTAATGAATCATGTGAACAGATTTTTGAATCCTCAAATCTTTGACATTCAAATTGTTAAAACTTCCTTGGCCCCAAACCATGGCAAAGTCTGCAACGCAAAGGCAAGAAAGTAGAGCATCGGATATTAAACAAATCTTAATTGTTCTTTCCCATGGCTAATTTCATACTCCTTTATATGTACCATTTTTTATACACAGGAAAACATAAATATAACTATGTAGTAAAAAAGGAAGAGAAGATCAAAAGGTAATTTAACTTATAGAAATTGAATAAATATGGGTGGAAAAATGAAAACCAAGCCTAGCATTTGAGTTTGTCTTCTCCAATGGAATTCTTGCAATGAGCAATTGCAGCTTGAATTGCAGCCTGCAACTCTTCCATGGTGCTGTCACTAGTAGAAGAAGGAAAACCTGTGGTTGCAACAAGGAGGCCACTATTTGTAGGAGATGTCCTCATTGAAGCAGGCGCTGAATATTCTCCTCTTCTTCCTCTCAACTCTTGCTTGTTTCTCAAACTCAAGTTACCTGAAAATGAATAAGCCTGCCGACGGAGATGGAGATTGTCTCTCCTCCCTCTGAAGAACAATAAAGGCCGAACCATCCTCACGTACCTCTTTAATACACGGCTTACGTCGAATCTCATCTTTTTCTTATTGTGCTTCTCTTTTTCTTGTGTTTCTGTAACGTCACGCCCTTTCTGCCATCTTGTTAAACTGAATATAGAGAAAGACTTGGACTTGCTTCTTCCTTTTCCTTCAATGTCGTTGCTTTGACGACGGTTACTAACTTTGTCATGGTTCTTGTTGCTGTTGATGTTGGTTCTGATATTGCTGTCGCTTTTGCTACGATTGCTGCTAGTTTTATCAGGTTTGTGGTCATCTAACAACTCTCTTACGGGAAGGGTGAAGTTGTCCAATGAATTTGTAGAGGAACGCGGAGACACTGGAAGGTGAGAAAGGAGGTGGAGAGGGAGCAAGTGACCATGAAAGAAAATGTCATCTGCTGGAGACAAATCGATTGCAATTGAAGGTGGGGTTTTCGTTT